GCCAGCCATGCTGGCTGGGGAATTCTGGGAGGTGAAATCCACTCATCTTAAAGTGGCCAAGCTTGGACAACACTGGTCTATGCCATTTGGCTACATATATAGGGTTGAATTACTGATGACCTCTGCCATTGTAAATTGGCTAGCGTTCCAGTCTTTTAGCCAGGAGGCTACACTTTTTTTCTGTAACGGGGTTGGACAAAAATCAGGATCTGTAAGTGGATGGGCAATGATTTTTGACTGACCGCTTAATGATAACAACTAACAAAACCCTTTACCTCTAAGAAGAAAAAAACATGCTTGGAACAAACCCTGAGTAGATACCTGTGTGAAATTACTTGTTTGAAGAAATGCATTCCTTAATTCTTACTCCGTGCCTGTCTGCCTGAGGGATTGTTTTTGGCCTGGCTCTGGGTGGACCTGATAGTTCTGGCTGGCTGGCTGGGTAGATATCTTGCAGGTCAGTAGCCTGCCTGCAGCTACCTTCATCCAGGAGTGATTTCCATATCCAACTTTCTTTGTCCTAAATCTCTTCAAGCAACTAGTACCATGTCCGCCTTCGGTTTCTGCTCTCCACCATTTTTATGGTTCTCGTGTGTATATTTGCAACTACTGGTGCTTCTCCATTCATGGAACTGTCCTTGATATTTCAGTAGTTGGATAGTTAAGCTTTGTTACATTTAGTTCTCAATAAACCTCAGGACTGCGTTAAAACTTTCTGGGTTAGTTCTGTGGTTGGGAACTTGATATCAAACACAGTTTCAGTCCCTTCCCCCATCCCATTCTCGCTGAATATGTAAATGTGAGATTTAACTCTATTTGTCCATAATCATCTTTCAGTTAATTTTACACAGTGGTTAGGAGTCCATGCTGGACATTTTGATAGGCATTTTGGGAGGTTTTTTCTTAGTACCCTGTTGAGGCTACTATTTCCATCTGTGGCTAGGAAATGGGAGTTCAAAGAACAGGTAATAGAGAACAAATTCTCCTTATGCAGATGTTGCACGGGGATAGACGGCTTGAACCTTTTTGCCTCTTTACCCTGCTATCATAGTGCACAGAGGTGTGATAGGTTGGAAGACTTGTGCAAAACTGGGTAACTGTTGAAAATTAAGAGAATTCTACTGTGGAGAGAGAGTGAATGCAACAATAATTATGTATATGTATATGGGTGAATGTTTATACACACCCCAATATATATATAAATATATATGTAAATTACTTCTAGAAAAAAATAATTTGTTTAACATCAGGAAAAATTGCTTTGGGTTGATTATGAGATGTATCTGGTTTAGCCAATGACATTTCATACACCTGGCTTTACAAGCATCAACAAAAATTTATCTAATGTGGAAATCCATGAGGCACGTGTTGTAGGGACCAGATGTTTAAACAGTGGTTGTCAATCAAACAAGATGTGGGAAAATCAATCAGCACCTTGGTCCCTGCTTATTTGAGGAACACAAAACTATCCTTGCTCCTCCTCCATCTTCCCTCTAATGCCTACTTCACTGCATGATGATTGCCAACCGATGTGCCTTTCTTTGCCTTAAATGGGCAAAGTTCTCCTTCAGACCTTGTGTGGCAGCTTGTTTTCTATCTATCTTATTTGTTGGCGTTGAAGCAAGAGTGGAGGCTGCTGCCAAAAAGATTACTGAATGTTCTTGATGCATTTCAAAACTAGTTGTATCTTCCCCTGTTCCATTTTTTGCTCATCATCCATGTTTAACTGAACCCCAGGATTGTTGTTTTAACCATCAAAGGTGGTCTGAACAATCCTTGGGTACTTCTGTACGTATCTGATTTTTACTGAAACAGGTGTTTGGGAAAACACTCTCACCAATGGTTGCTATTACAGTGAGATCAATAAAGATCTTGATGATATCAAACCAGAATGTTTGGGGTTTTTTCCATTATCGTGGAAGTATGGAAATGTGGGATTTGAGGTTTTGTTTTTTCCTGGTGTACTTAGATATCTCATGATGGTCTTTCCATTCATACAGTATAATTTTTTTCTAACGCAGGTTCTGGAAGCAGTGGCGCAGAGCAGAAATCCTTACCATTAGAGGGGTGGGGGGATGAGGATGAGGAGTCCAACCACAAGAATTCATTAACAATTCCACTCACCTCAAAACCAAAAGGCTTTTGAGACAAGGTTTCTCTGCCTCATTCAGGGAATTCACAAGGGAATCAGATATATCTCCCATTTGTAACTGATATTTGCCCCCTATAAAATAGGTTGAGGAGGAAAAGACACATAAGCTGCATGGTTCCTTTTTATTGGAAATATAGAAGTAGTTTGGAAATTCAGATATTTTAGGATTGTGTCCTATAAAATTTCAGAAACAGCCATAAATGAAGGTTTATTGGTTGAGATCAGGTTGAGATCATTGCTTAGACTGGCTGCTTTCAATAACTTAAAATGAGCATGCTGCTGTCTTGGCATATAGAGGAATGGCTAAATTTAGGGCCAAGATTTAGTTTTGCTCCCTGGATGTGCTTTGCATGGAGATTATCCATCCTTTGTGCACTAAAACAGGAAAAAACACAGTGGTCCTATTCCTAGACACAGAATCTTAAAATACGCATGAATTTGTCCAATAGCAGAATGAACTTGGAGTAGATCCATAACTGTCCCAGTTCATGAGTGCAGAGATCAAAATGGATTCCGTTCAGCCCAAAAATTATTTAATATAGTCTTCATATATAAGTCTTGTTTTCTGACACAGAAAAGCCATCTTAGAATGTCCAAATCATGAGCTTTTAGGGAAAAAAAAAACAAGAAAGGAATGTAGCTGAGAAGTCTTTCCAAATCTACCAAGGTCTGGAAGATACCTATCGTGATATTAATTGAACTACAATCCGTATATAGCTCATGCTGATGTTTTTGTTAGCAAAGATTTGATTCCCACATTCCTTTGGGTAAAATAAATACGGTCTATTAACGGATGGGAAAGAATGTGAAGCAGTAAGAAGACGAAATACACAGAAAAAAAGGCTCAGAAAAACAGAGCAATGTTCCAATGTATTAGTCTATTACTACAAGAACAAGAATCTTTTGGCCCCTTAAATTTTAGTAATCCTTAATGTTACATAGCTGCAGCTTGTTTACATGAAAATCAGTTATCTTCCCTTTTATATCTTCAAGAACTCTAGAATGTATATTCAAATAACTTTCTGCTGTCATAAAATAAGGCAGCTTTAACTGTCTAAATTAGACCTGCAAAGGAACCAGGTTGGGATTTCTAATGCAATCAGATTCTTGCTTACTAACATCAGAGGCCCACTTCTTTCTTCACTCTTCTGTTTCAAGGATGGCAATTAGCAAAATCCATCTTTGGCCTTCCAAAGGCTGGGCTGCATAGCTACTTGAAAGGCTACCTCCTTTCATATCTGCCTATATGTTCAACTGTGCCATTGGCAGGCCAGGTGGACCTCTTGTAAAACCCTTTGGTTGAGTGCTTGGCCCAGCCCAGACTTTCAGCCATTCAGGTCTCCTGTCAAGAATTGGGGGGGGGGGGGCAGCAGAAGTGAATTTCACTTGCCCCCAAATCATACCAACAGGACACTTCAGGGTTTATATTACACTGGGTGTATCTCGTAAGGAGCTTCTTAGCTATGTGGTCAAGCCAGATGTTAATCTGTAAAGGGGTGGAGGGAATTTACTATCTGTCACAATTTGGGGGGGGGGGGGAAACCCTAACAGTTTGATTTCAGGCTATTTTGTTTTGGCTATATTTTGATTGAATTGTAGATATAGGAAACCAGGTAGAGCAGACAAGCCACCAGAAATTGGCTCTGAATCATCAGTAAGAGTGGAGATTGCATACACTTCTCCATAAGTCTGCTTTTTATCTTTAGATTATTTTAGGTTAAAAAAAAAAGTTGCTGCCTTTGATGTTTCAAGGTAAAAATTACCACTGTAAAAATACCTACAGTTTTGTTTGCTGTCTGCTAAGAGATTACGCTAAAACAAATGATTTGAGTGTTATTCACAGTAAATTATTCCTTCTGCTTTCTTCTCACCCATTTTAATGCCCTACTGGGAGATGCAGTTCGGCAGTTGATGTGTGGTTCTTCCTGATCTTTGAAGTCAACTGTCGCCTTAGGAGGAGCGTCGCTTCGAAGTTAGCAGTATTTCCTTTTTGAAAGCAGCACCTTACACTTCGTTTTAGGAGTGGGATGGATAGTGGAAAATGATTAAGATGCCTC